CGGGCCCTTACTGGTTTCGATGGAATTCAATAGTTTTTGACTCAATTTTTTTTTTGTGTTAAGAAATCTGTGTATATATAATCTATATCTCGAACTAAGGGTGGCTCGATAGTGTTTAAAAAAAAGGCATGTGCCTTAATTTTTAATAATAATAGATTATAAGTTATTGTTTTTTAAGAAATATTGAATATTATTTGTAGAAAAAGTAAATTTTTCATGAAAAATTAAGGAATTATTGGAAGAAATTTGATGTATTTAGAGTACTATATCTCATGAAAAATAATTTAAAAGATAAGAACGATTATATTATCAATTGAAAACTAGAAGAAATCAATTATATAAAAGTTATTAATAATTCAAGTTTAAGACCCCGTTTGATTTTCGCTTTATGCCACTAATATTCTTGAGCCGCTCCTGTTCGAACCCAGTAAACAATAGAGCTGTGACTTTAAAACTCGTAAGCTTTAAATCCTCATGACTCATACAAAGTTTGAAATGCAATATGAAACTTTGGATTACTAAGTATAATCTTGTATAAGTAATACGTTTGCTTCCAGTGTAAAATTCTACTACTTAACAACAAATGCAACATTTGTCGTTTTTGTTTTATGCTTTTATAGAATGTGGAACAATTGAAATACACTTACCTGTATAACCTCTCCTCTTTTCCTTCTTAGAGCTTTAAGTTTGAGGTATTATTAATTTATGATCAACTTGTTAGGTTGTGGAGCCTGATTAATATTTGATGTATTGTTATATATTAATGTTTATGCGGTTTAAACTCCATTTATTCTCTGTAATAAAAAATACTCTGATTTATTAATATATATATATACCCCACCACCGTAGAAGCTTATTCACGGAGTGTTACCACGAAATATTGTTTTCTCTTTAGATCTCTCATCTCTTTCTCAAGAAAGTTCTTGTGTTCTTCATTTATCAAGTGTGTGCATGGATTCGATCCTAACACGACTCTGTATAGTCTAAGGAGTTCCCTTATATGCTTCTTCATTGGATTTATACAGAACAGGGATTCGATTGTCTATAATCGGAGACGCGAGTCAGCTCCCCAAGTCATTGCAGGACTTAATAGATAAAGCAGTAATGGCTACAAAAGCAAACTCCCGACTTCATATCCTTGTTGCAATTAACTATAGTGGACAGTATGATGTTGTACAAGCTTGTCAAACCATTGCTCAAAGAGTGAAGGATGGCAATATCGAACCCGAAGACATTAATAGTTTACTAGTAGAACAGGAATTACAAACAAAATGTACTGAATTTCCAAGTCCTGATTTACTTATAAGGACTAGCGGAGAGTTGAGACTTAGCAATTTCTTACTTTGGCAGTTGGCTTATACTGAACTCTTCTTTTCTCATTCACAATGGCCTGATTTTGGTGAAGCTGAGTTTTTAGAGGCTTTATGTTCTTTTCAGCAAAGACAGAGGCGCTATGGCGGACAGAGTTCCTAGCATCACGCTATGTGAAACAAGTTCGGGGTATGTTATAGAATGTATATAGACGTTATCCATTAGATAGTTATATTTAGGTAAGGGCGTATTGGGTTAACGTGCACCCGTGCTCCTTTCTCTAAACCATATATACAAATGTATATTTATACAAAATTACTTTAGTATATGGGTGCATCTAAGCTCAAATTCGAGGCATGTCTTGTTATTGGCTGCATTTCTATAAGTGAAATTGACGGTTCAAATTTCATTGAATGTCTTGTTTTTTCTTTCTTTTTCAAGAATTGAGCTTGGGAGTATTTTCTTTTATTTTGTTTTCCTTCTTTCAATACACGTCAAATTAATGTAAATTTGTAAATACAATTCTCAGTACACAATATAGTGTATAAATAATGCATAGCACCAAACAAAATACTATTAATAATATATTAAGTTATTACATACATTATTTTTGTAATACACTCCATCGAACGACTCTTTAGTCTCTTAAATTGCTCATAAAGGTTGGAAAAGAGCTACAACCTACACTATTAGGTACGAGTTGAGAGCAATCACAGGCCCTGGTTATGTATTAGGAAAGTTTATTGAATACAAACAACTTTACCTTTAGGTTGAATCTTATTTAAGTTTATACTTTTACCAGAGTTCTAGTCTACTTGATACATTGTACTCTTAATAACATTATATATAATATAGAAGACTTTCACATAAAGCTCATTTTGGGAGAATATTATTATACACGTGGTATCAGAGCGCCATCAATAGCAATACAGTGATTTTTTTTCTCACAGAAAGTGGTTTCTTTCTCTCACGTAAAGATGGTGACACCATATTTTGATAATTTCTCCACACGCTTAAACTATACATTTTTCTTTTAGTTTCATATCTAAAATGTCACTTTTTAATTTGAGAAACACAGCTCTCTTTTATACCACTCTCATTATGATGTGTGTAATGCACTCTCTTTTATTTTAAGAAGGAAAACACTCAAATATGTTATCGAATTTTTCAAAAAAAGCTCATTTATGTCATCCGTTAAAAGTTTGGCTCATATGCCATTGCCCCTTTAAGAAAAGGCTCATTCATGCCATTATTTTTTAAAAGTGATTTTGCAAAATAATTTTTGATACGTGACAATTATAATTCGGCCCCGTAATTAATTTTTTTAATGAAAATAATTCAAAAATTCTGAACAAAAATTGAATCAAAATAACTCACCCAAATAAAATTAGGGATATTTTAAAATTTAGGTGGGTCTTTACTTGGATTGGTTATTTATTTTTCTAAATTTCTAAATGTAAATTACTAGTTAATATTTTTTATATAAATGATTTTTTCAAATACTTTTTTTAATCATTATTTTTTAAGTAAGATTTTGTTAATTCAATAATGAAAAACATCCTTTTATGTGAGACATTTTATTATATAACTAATAAATTAATAACCTTTAAAGATAAGAGTTAGAATTATAGAATCCGATTCAAAAAGTTGATAACTTGATATACCTACTTTAATATGAAATTTAACAAAGAAATAAAAATAAATTGTAATGCACTCTGTTCAACACTTTTCAAAGATTTAAAGAAATAAAATACAAAAGGAGTTAAAAAGGATATTTTTGAGACTGTATTACTTTAACTATCAACACTTTTCAACTATCGATTGATGTTTTTGATATTTTTGAGACTGTATTACTCTAACTATCAAAGAGTTAAAGAAATAAAATACAAAAGGAGTTAAAAAGGATAAATAATATAACTGTTAGCCAAAAAATTGTAAGAATTCAAAATAATATTTCGTTGATTTCTTCTGTTTTAATGGGATTAAGAAACAATACTTTTTTATCTGTAAAAATTTGAGGCTCTAACGCTTAATGCCTTTAAATTTTGAAGCCAAGAGCCAATCCTGAGAATGACCGTTAGATTTGATGAAGAGTTGAATGCTCACCGTTGGATAGGATAGACTTTTGATGGCAGATTAGATATTGACTACCTCTTTTTTCTTTTTGAAATTAATTTTAATTTAATACGTTTTGCAATTTTGGGAAATACTGTTAGATGTTACTCTCATATAACAATTTTTTCCTATACTTAAAGTGGTTATAATGTGCATAAAATTATGGTAATATAACTTAATTATGAGCTAGTAAATGTTGAAAGAAAATTTTTGGCACAATATATATTAGCCAGAATTGAGATGCTTTTGGTTGTTGATCCTGTGAATAGATATGACCCTTTCATATTATTAAATTCGTTTTTAAATAGTAAAGGTGTGTAATAAATCGTCATAACAGTTTAATCATGTAATTGACTTTTCAAGACAAATTTAAAAGACAATTTATGTTTTTTCCCTATTTAAATACTGAAATAGTACATTAACAAATTCATTATCCATCAAATATTGTGTGATATTGTTTTTCGAAAATTTCTTGATTATAAAAATGTATTATTTAAGCAAGAATCAAAGGGTCATTTTATCAAATAATATCAATCAGAGGAAAGAAAATTGCTAATTTATTTTATTATTTCCTTCAGAAAAAAAAACATCAAGTTAATTTAATTAAATAGGTTATTTGCGCAAGAAAATGGGTTGTTCATTACTCCACGTATGCTGAATTAAATTGAATATTTCACTTAAAATCATAAAAATTAAAAAGTTGTTATGTCATTGTCATACACAACTAATCATATTTGGTCCTACTACTAATTAAATGATAGTCTAATCCATTATATTTATAAAAGTAATTATTAATTAAAAAATAATGCTATACATCATTGGTTTATATTGCTTTAATTTATTGTTTCCTCTTTAAGAGGAAGATGCTTATCTTTATCTCAATTATATATATATATATATATATATATATATATATATATATATATATATATATATATATATATAT